GGGCGACTAGCTAATACCCTGTCGTTAGTAGTGAAGCACTCCTTGACTGCTTCACGATTGCTAATGATAAGGGCAGGGAACGCTCCTAAGCGGATTGAGAAGATTGGGCCACACTTGTCAGCCATGTCTCCCAAGGTTTGAGCAAGGGTGCGTTGGCCGCCAAGTAGGTGAATGTGCCCGATGAATGGCAATGCACCTGGAGGTTTTGGGGCTAATAAAATGCCCTTACTTTGGTGGCTGGGAGTTCCCTTCTTCCATAGTTTGTAGAATAGCACCAATCCAAGAAACCCTGCAATTGCAAATAGATGAGACGAGAAAACCATTTTTTTATGCCTAAAGTGTAAAGTGAGAAGGATGGGGGCAAGATTAAGGGTGACTGATTGTTCGTTTTGATTTTCAATTTGTGTATAGCAATTGGAGGAAATTAGTCAATTGAATCGAGCAATGCTTGAAAGTCGTACATGGTTGGGCCCTTGGCTGTAGATGCTATCGTTGCAAACAAACTTAATCTTGACTAGAAATTTTCAACATCTAACAATCTTTACCATTTATCAGGACCCACCACATCTTTTATTACTGTAAAATCCATAACATTCTACCCCACTTAATTGTACAACGCCTTCATTGTACGGCCTTTTTACTAGTAAAAGAGAGGGACTCTTACACTGATCGGGCTCTACCTTAACCCTTGTATCTCTCATGAGGGCCCACATCAGTAAAGACTGAGTGTCTTTTGATATCACTTGTCACAAGGCTATTACCCTCTTCCCAAATGGGGTGTGCAACGCCACCGTTTATAAGTCTGTAACGACCGCTCCTCTATCGTTACCGGCATTCGAGGTTCACGGAAGAATTCGTCAAGTCCCGAACAAGCCTTATTTAAAACGTTAGTTATTATTTCATATTCATGTCATCAATCTATGAAAATTTCTTTAAACCACAAAACTCTTGTAATAAGGATTGAACAATAATCTTTATAAATTGACTAAACCTTTATTCTATATAATCGTAAAATTAATACATCAAGACTTATAATCTCCAATTGTACATTTGTATTGACACTATTGTCTAATTTCATAATAAGTTACAATATGACAACTCGACTTCTAGCAGTGGAGTGACTCAGAATAAAGTGCTATGAGGGGCCTTTACTTATCCGCGGTGGACTGAAAATGCCGATGACTGCACGCTAAGCTGATCACTATGTTCTTTTTCTTTCTTTTTTGTTTTGTGGACTCTATCTTTTACTTGTCATGTTTTTCTTTTTCTAGTATGTGAATTTTATTTTTTGAAATTTTAGTCTTTAAAGATTAAAACATTATTATGTAATTTTCAAATATAAGTTGTAGTGTTGCACTATTGATTGTTACTTAAAATTTCATCAATGTATTATTTTTTATTAATCCTGATTAATAGATTAATCTGTCTTGTTTTGACTTTTATGGTTTCTGCAGTAACTATAGACAGAGCCTTTTGAGTAATGGAAATTGTGAAAATAAGACTACAGAACAAAATTGATGATAAATTTCTTACAAATAATTTAGTTTTTTATATTGAAAAAGATATTGTTAACACTTTCAATACAGAGCCAATAAATTGACAAATTTAAATTTAAAAAAATATTGTCAAGCACAAATTTTCATTACAGATTAGGTTTTTTTTCTTATTCTTTTTGATTTATATATATGCTTTATAAAATTATTATTTATTACAAATCTTTTAATTGTTGATTAAATTCAACATATTAATTTTAAAAATTTTAAACCTTTCTTTGACTTCGAGGACTAGCTTCACCCTAGTTGACATATCCTTGGCAAGTTCTCAATTTATTTACTTATTTCTTTTTGTACAAGATACCAATTCATTCTGTGCTTGACTGGAAAAAGTATTCTTTTATCCTTGACTGGAAATGTGAAGCATATCCTATTTGTAGACATCTTCCTTGGAACAAATACATCACTTGTCTAAATGGAGCACAAATATTTCTCAGCCATGCTCAATTAACCCGTTCTGGCATATTATTCAAAAAGATTGTGATAATCCTCCTCCGTTTCTGTTCTACTGCTATACTCTTAAATCTGTCTGCCTGGTACCAACCCTGCCTTGATACTCTTAAATCCATAAGCCGTTAATGGAAGCCGAAATGCATACGCGTCCTAGTTTGAAATTTTCTGCATCCTTTACCAAATTATTTAATCTAAGAATCTCAACTTGAAAGAGTAATCTTTAATATGCACTTGCATTTAATTAATTAAATTGGCTATGTTGAAAACATATCTCGATGGTTCATAGCACCCTTCATTAACTACCTTTGTAACTTTTATAGTTGAGAAACTTTCGTTCGTCGCTTGCTAAAAATTTTTCTCCTTTGAATTACTTTGTTAATGTTAGATTTTCTAATAAAATCTTTGTGTGGACTTCCATTACTTATCTTTGTTTTCACTATATAAAGGTAAAGTTAAGTGGGACTAGGGATTCGCTATCCAAAAGTAAAGCTAGGTGCCCTCTCTTGTAAACAACGGCATAAAGATCTCATCCATTAGAGAGTCATAAATAAAAAGAGAGGAAGATCCTATTGCACTGAGTACCACCAATTAATTTGGACAGTATTATTTTCATTATTAAACTATCGATTGTGAATCAGAAATCAAGTATGTTATGTGTACTAAATTCTTACTATGTTAGATCTTGAATTAGTATAAATCATTTATAAATAAAGTTTTTTAATTGGTATCAATGCCACCACGATCAGGATTTAGAATCATTAGAAATTTAGATATTTATGACATAAATCATGACTACATGTTAAGGTCTTATGTGGTTCTTTGAATTTATGTAATAAAATATTTAAAATCTATAATTATCTTTGTATAATGCATTTAGATCCTGAGCATGCTTAATTACTGATATATGATTGGCCATATGGCTGTTTAGTAAAATTATATCTATGTAATTAAATGCGGTTTTTAACAATATTAAGCCAAGAACAATTTGATTTTATGTAATTGTGTTAAATTACTTTGGGTTTATTGTTTTTTGATGAGTTAAAATTGTTATTGAGGATATAAATCTTGATTAAACTTATTGATTTTTATCAAATTAGGCACTTCCTTGGGTTTTTTTATTTAACATAAATTTGTCATGTTAAGTTGAGATCTTCATGTGTTCAAAAATTTAATTTGGGTTATTGATTTTATCTATATATTTAGGCCTTTTGTTCCTCTTAATACTAGGATTAAATCATTAGTCCCAAAAGGAGCGGTAGAAGGAGGTAAATAGTACTAAAAATATTTTACAGGAAACTCTTAAGTTTGAAAAACTCTTAAACAATTTTGAAATGGAAAGTTTAAAGCTTGTTAAAGTTGAAAGACACCAAATAAAGAGAAGGTTAAGAGAAGTGGACAAAACAAAATATTTATAGTGGCTTTGTCCACTTGACCCAAATTTATTACTTTGATCTTCCTAATCAAGGATTTTCAACCCAACTTCACTAAAACTAGTGAAATTAATATCTTCAACTAAGTTTTTAAAATGTGTGCTTCTAACACAAGCTTTAGACCTTTACAACAATCCCTAAGCTTTCTTAAGCGTAGTAAACCCTTTAGAGTGCCTCGTACAATCTAATCAATCAAGAAATGAAGAAAAGATGGAGTACAATTGATCACTTAGTTAATCTAAGATGTACAACTTCAAGGTTAAGCACTTTACAAATAATAGGAGTGAAATACAAGTGCAAAAAGAAGGTTTTTTTTTCTAAGCTCAAAATCACTCTTGGTAGCTTCTCTCATGATTTTTGGCAGTTAGAGAGACTTTAAATACTTGAAAAATTACTTCTGACCATTGGAGATAGACACTAGCCATTTTTTCCATTATTTTATCCTTTTGTGCTTAAATTCAAATATATAAACTTAGTTCTGTTAATTGGTTACAAGCAGGCTTTAACCGATTACACCTTTTCTACCTTGCACTGTTTAGCTACATTATGCACTGTGTCATCCGATTAGAAGAAATTCTAACTGATTAAAGACATTCTATTTTTGAACTTCTCCAACCAGCAGTCTTCTTTCAATTAGTTAATCCTCCTTTTAACTAATTAAAGCATATCTCACTTCACCTTTAACCAATTAAAATATACTTTAACCAATTAAAACTTGTTTGAATTGAATTTCATCATTTTGGCTCCCTTCAACGGTCATCGTCACTTTGAATTTAAACTTTGGAGCTTCAAAGTGCTTCAAGTCTCGAGCTTTAACTGATTAACCCCTTTGCTTAACCGGTTAGCAAGCTTTTATTTTTAACTTCCACCACTTTCTTAATTAGTTAAACTTGGTGCTAACTGACTAAGGCTTTTTTGTCTCACTTTCATATAGCGTCCAAACTTACCTTAACTGATTAAGGGTTCTTATTATTCATTTACCAATGTTCTGTTTTCACTAAGCCCTTCCTTCTTTGCATTTTTAACTGATTAACTCTTCCTTAAGTTAGCAAGCTTCTTGACTTGCCTTTAATCATAAAATTTATTAAGGGATTTAAACTTTCTTTTGCACACTTAAACAATATAATTAGACAACAATGAATGAGAATGTTTTGTTATCATAAAAAATATATAAAGTCAACATTTTCTCTTATTTTTGATGATGACAAAACACTTCTAGATTAAGAATAAAATGTTTATGTTCAATATGAATGCTTTAAATCTTTATGCATAATGAGGATTGCTCCCCCTTAGTTAATGCATCTAATTTTCTTTAAAGATGTGCAATGAAATATTTATAATATCTACAATATCTAAACAAGATATACAATATCCATAGTAGCTAAGCAAGATATATTGAACATCCATAATAAGTAGCATGTATTGTTCAACAAAACCATAACTAAGCAAGATATATTGAACATCCATAATAAGTAGCATGTATTGTTCAACAAAACCATAACTAAGCATCACACACATAAATTAAACATAAAGGCCTATCAAACTCTATTTAACTTAGTCTTTCTTTTCCTTCTTTTTGTTATCATTGAAAAAGATATTCAAAACTCCCCCTTAATAAGTGTATCCAAATTTTCCTTTAGTCTTTAAATTAGACTTTAATGAATGAGGGTCATAAGCACTCATACAATTAAGTCATACAATCTTACGGATATAGTTCAATAACTTCAAGAGTCAAGCTTATAACTATGTAAGAACAAATATATGAGAGTTAAATCATTTCAATAGCTTGTCAAGGATCACTCAAATAATGTTCAAGCAAATTTGATCATTTTGTCATGATTAAAACTACAATAATTTTAAAGCTAACATAAATATGCATAGAGATTGTAACTTGATTTAGCCTATAGTTAAAGAAATTAAAGTTTAAAGTTTTAGGTTCAAGATTGAAACTCAATTCTTGATTTGATTAAAATCCTTAATTTTTATGTGTTTAAGTTCAATTTTATCTTTATAGATCACTTGTTACATGTTATAGAGATGAATCATGAGTTTTAATTGCATAAAAATTGGGTATGTAGGATCAAATATTGAGAAAAATCAAAATAGGTCATACATGGGTATGAAACCCGAAATTTTGCTCTAATTGATCTTGATTTAGGATGTTTTGA